CATCATCACTGCCTTCATTGTCACCTTCATTGCCATCATCATCACTGCCTTCGCTGTCACCTTCATTGCCATCATTATCTTCATCATCACTGCCTTCATCTCCTTCATTGTCACTGTCACTGCTGTCTTGGTTGTTGCCAATGCTGTTCTGGTTGCCACCTCTGAGGCTGGTATAACCACCAGCATTCTTGTTGCCATCAAAGTTCTTGCTGAGGGTCTCATTGTCATCAGCTTTCTTGTCTTCCGGGTTCTCACAGTTGTCATCAGGGCTTTCATTGTCATCGGCACTGTCATTGTTGTCAGTGGTCTCATTTTCATCAGTGCTCTCGTTGTTGTCAGTGGTCTCATTGTTGAGGTTCTCATTGTGGTCAGGGCTTTCGCTGTCACAGAGACTCTCATTGATGTCAGTTATCTCATTGTCAGTGGTCTCGAAGTAGTCAGTGGTCTCCATAAAGTCGGAGATCTTGATGTCATGAATGGTGTCGTTGTCAGTGGTCTCATCAATGTCTGAGATCTCGCTGAAAATATCTTCTACTGCAAAGTAGTCATGACCGTCTTCCATGATCACCACCTCACATTCGTCCTTTGTTTTACTGTGGGGGAAGGCTGGGGTGAGTAGGGGATTGGTGGGAAGGGGTGTACCCAGAGCAGACACTGAAAGCTGGTCAGTAACTGAGGAGGCAATAAGCTACAAGGGCTTCTGTGGATGAGGCTAGGGTGGGAGGAGCCCCACTTCTGCCCCTGATGGTGTAACCTCAGGCTATTTCGGGGCATCATTCCACACGTGTAAAACACTGTACTAGGTTATCTCAAAGGTCTCTTTTGCCTCTGTGTGACACTAACCTTTCCTTGCCTCCTCGCCAATAAACCATCTCTCAGCCACCCCTCCCCCCTCATTACCTGTCTTTCTCTTCTTGCTTCTTTCTGTTGGCCCTGTAGCCCCCTTCTCTCATCATGTAATAGCGGACAGGGTTAACCCACAGGTCATTCTTGATAATCTGTTGGGAGGACAGAAGACAGAAAACAGCCATGAGTATAAGCCCCAGCCTCACTCCCAATTTTCCAGGCACTCAGGTAAGTGTAGCAAGGCCTTCTCTGGCAATGCCAGGAAGGGCACCCACCTCAGCGATCCGGTCAGCCTCTGGGAGGCTATGGCTCGAAAACCAGCTGAAGAAGCTGTGGCTGGCATCCTGCTTCCTGCGACTCTGGGCCTGGGGTTCCTGGCCCCGGTGCCAGCGGATCGGGGTGGAATGAGACACCAGCCGTCCTAGGGGGAGAAGAGGTTGTGGAGAGAGGACTGAACAAGGAAAACACTGGAGGATGGACATGGAGTTACCCTAGGACCATGTCTTACCCGAGCGGTTGCGCTGGAACTCCTTAACGATCACCATGTTTGTGAAGTAGGGGTTTGTCTGGAAGTACAGCTTCATTTTGTAGCCCATGGAGATATGTCTGAGATCCTGTACCTGCTCAAGGTGGGGGTAATAGTGGAATCTGTCCCCCGAAATACACCATGGCCCCTGCCACCCACCCCTCACCTCCGAGGACCAGATTCCTTGGCCTTCCTCTTCAGCCTGACCTGCAGATTGGTCAAGTAGCGGAAAATGTCTTCATCACGTTGGTTGATCAAGATTGAAATTCTGGGGTGGTTGAGGAACTGATGAGTGGAGCAGTTTAGGTCAAGGATTAACTGTTCAATGAGAGGGAGGGAGGGAAGGCCAGGCAGGGCAGAGCAAGAGAGAGGCTGGAGTGGGAGGATTCCTTCTGTGTTCATGTGTGGAACAAGCAGGTCCTGTGACTTCTATGTACCTTTCTTCTCTTGATACCATCTGTGTAGCGAAAGCTGCTTATGAATGTGAAGCCTGCATTTGCTGGCCTTGCCATTGTTCATGTTTGCTGCCTGGGTGCTGAAGGTTTATGTCCACGAGACGTTTGTCTCTGGGTGCTGAGGGCTTATGTTCTCAAAATGCTTATGTGTCTGTGCCTAAAGTCCCATGTCCCAGTGATGCTCTATCTGGTTGCAGAGAGACTGTGGTCACAGGATGTTGCACGTGTGGGTGTGGACGTTGTGTCCACGTGTTATATGAATGGCTCCAAGGGTCTGTGTTTAAGTGAGGCTGTGTATCTATATGCTGAGAACCTGGGGCTACATGGTGCTAAGGTCTGGTGTCTACGTGATACTATCTGGGTACTGAAGACCCATGGTCATGTGATACTTTGTGTCAGGGTGCCAAGGATCTGTTATCCACGTTAAACCCATGTGTTCCCAACATGCCACATGTATGTCCCCGGAAATGATTCTTCTTTCCATTTCCTTCATGGAATTCTGTGGTCTCCATATCCAGATACTCTCTCTGACCCCCTTCCCTTCAATGTAGGGGGCTCTAGCCAGGAGTGGGCCTCCTAGGATCTAAGCAGAACCCTAGACTTGCTTTCTGGGCAGTTTCTCTGCTCTGTGCCTTGCCCCTCCCTCATCACTGTCTCTGAGTCACTTTATCTTCTGTATGCCCCTTCCACTGTTCCTTTCACCATCTTTGGTCCAATTTTCCTGCTGTGTGCCCCTGTGTTCCCCTCCCCCTTTTACTGTCTGGGATCTTTTTTTATTTTTTTAACATTGCACATCACTCTTGCTTTCCCATCTGTGGTCCAATTTTTATGCTATGTGCCCCCTCCCCCTCCCCCTTCATCATTGCCATCCAGTCCAGCTTCTCCGATGTTTTGCCCTCCTCCTTCCGTCCCTCTTCCACCCAATCGAGCCAGTCTTCCACAGGGGGCTTACCACCCCATCTTTAGCCATTCTCCACACCTTTTCACCTTTTCTCTCCCCCTCCCCCTTCCTGTCATGGGCTTCTGGCCCATGAATATCGATGAGAAGGATACTGCTTTGACCCAGAAGCCTGGAATATGCTGGATGATGAGGTCTCTGCGCTCCAGGAAGGGTCTTCGCATCTGGATGAACTTGCGCTTGAGACGGAGGAAGGCCTTGCCTGCCTTGATATTCACTGCCTCCAGGTCCATTTGAATACTCTCCAGTGCTTGCAGGATGCTCTCCATCCTCTCACCATTCCCATTCCTCTCTTTGCTTTCCTTCTTCATCTTCCTCTGCTTCCTCCTCCTCCTCCTCCGCCGCCGCCGCCTCCTCACACTTTCCTTCTCATCCTCATCCTCATCCTCCACTATGATGACAGCCTCTTCCTTCCTCTTTGGACCGATTAACCTCTGGGACCCCCACACCCCTGCGCTACAGGTTTCTAGGGCCTTCTCTCCAGCAAGGCTGCTGGGCTCTGCAACCTGAACGTCAATTTCCAAGCTTCCCCCAGAGGCCTCGGAAGGGGACAGTGTTTCCAGGCTTCCCATGGGAGGGGGCGCCTCCCCGTACCCCGACTCCATCGCAGGCTCCCAGTCAGGACCCCCAGCACCCAGGGTGAAATATGCGCGGACCCCTCCCTCCTCAAGAATGACATAGGGCGGCGGCGGGGGCAGAGCGGGGCCCAGCCCCACCCCCCTCATGTCAGCCAGCACCTGTGCCGCCTCGGTTTCCTCCCGGAGCCACGGGCGCTGCTGGAGTGGAGGCAGAGGCAGTCGCAGGAGCGGCGGCGGCGGCGGGGGAGGCGGGGGCGGCGGCGGCGGGGGCGGCGGATCGCGCTCTGGAGACTCAGAGCTGCTCAGGCGGCGGGTCTTGGCCGGAGGCCCCTCATCCGGGCGGTCCATGGTGACCGCACTCGCCCCTTCGCTATCAGCGCGGCCGCCGCTACCAGTCACACCTGAAGCGCAGCTTCTGCACCTCACGCGACCAGCTCGCCTCTCCGCCTCGCTCTGGCGTTCCCTCCCACAGTGCCTGCCCTACTCCCTCCGCGCCAATCGTCGAGGTCCCGCCCACTCCTTGACGTAAAGGGCCTGCTCTGCCTCGCCATTGGCTGTCGGCCGCCGCGGCGGCGCGCGCGCTCCCCCGACCCCCTGCCCGCTCTCACGCAATCTGCTTGCCAACACTACACGTCATCAGTTTCCAATTGGTTCCCCCTCAGAACCGCCAATCAGCGGGCTGACTCCCCCAGCGACGAGAGGGAAACTGAAGGGCGGTTGGCTGTGAGGAATGCCAAAGAAGCCCCTCTCCCTAGCCCTCCCGGCGTTTTATCCAATGGGAAAAGTACCAGTGGTTCTGAAGACCAAAAAACAAGACGAAAAACAAACGCAGGCACTGAGCAGGATGTGCTCAAATAAAATCGGGAGAGCCTCGCTATCATTCTACCTCCCCCATTCGCCTCCTCCCCTCAGCAACTACGCACTTCTAAAATCTGCTCCTTCCCCCACGGCCTGCTTCTTCCCTTGGGGCGAACTGGGCTGTAGCTCTTCAGGGCTTGGGTTGCCCTACAAGCTACTGTATTTAGGCACCCCGGGTCTTTGGTTTGGTACCTAGGTTTTGACGTGCCGTTTTCCATCTCTGCAAAATAGCTCTAGAAATGATAATCACACACAAAGAGTAACTTCCTCTGCGTCATAAAAATGATTGTGATTCAGCTTGTCTGCTAGATTTTTCTAGAGCTTTTTCTTCACCCACTTGACATTTCTCTTCCATCCGTTCTTCTTCCTTTCCCCAATATATGTTGCTTTTAATCATATATATATATATATATTTTTTTTTTCGATCAGAGATGGATGGTCTTTTGAGAGGCATGGTGCTGGAATTCTGGTTTTGGTTCTGGGATTCACACCATGGCTGTATCCTTCACATTGAAACTCTGAACATCACTGCCCCTCTATGAGCTTCAGTTTTTTCTCTCATCTAGGTGTCCCTAAAGAGAGGCGTAGGTAACTGCCCATTGCAGCCTTGTGGTAGCAGAGACTTGGCAGCAACCGAGGGATCCATCACCAGGGGAATGGATAAGAAAAATGTGATACATGTTTCAGATGGACCACTAGAATGAATTAGGTCTGTATACGGCAACATGGCTGGATCTCGCAAAAACAGAATGTTGAGTGAAAAAAGAAACAGAACAAGATTTATAGTACAATACTGTTTATGTAAATTAAAACACACAACAATACCATATACTTTTCACAGATATACATATGTAAATAAACACATGAATGGTGGATTGGAAGGACATACATTAAATACACGAGAGTGAGTGCCTATGTTGGTGGGGGGAGAATGGGATCCGGGATGGGCGATGAAAGGGGACAAAAAATAAAATCAAGAATAAAAGGACCTTGCATGAACCAGTGATGATATACTGTGCCAAGAACTGAGGAGTATGGTCAACTCAATTCTGTGCACCTGAGGGAATAAGCAAATAAATAGATAGTAAATTAATTGAGTGCCCAGGGAGCAGCCCGGCTGGGTAGACTCCCAGGCTTGGATCCTCCCCCTCCCCGTGACATCCCTCCCTCTGAATTGAATCAAAGCTGACCAAAGTATCCCCTTAGGAAGGGCTCCCATCCCAGTCTGAGCAGTTCCTCCAGAAGCCACTACTTTGTGTGTGTGTGCGTGTGTGTGTATGGGGGGGGGGTGTTTCCTAAACCTTTGAGCTCCTCTCAAGTTAGATTCCCAATTCTCAGTCTGCATTCTCCATGGTGGTCCAATTTCAGGAACAACTCGTTTGAGTTTGGGGAGGAGACTAAGACAGGGCTGGGAGTGATACCTGGGGCTCCAGGCTTCGGGAAGAGGTGAGGTTCTCAAGTGCCCTGCTCCCCTCCCTGCTCGGAGTCTGGGGGCCAGTGGTGGACAATCTTATGGGATGGGAGTGTACCCTCTTGTTAACATACATATGTACAGTTTCCAAGTTCCATTTCCAGACCACTGTTTCCTGCTGCAGGCAAATACTCTAGTGTGTCTCCTCTCAACTAAGAGTGTATGTGTGTGTGTACGTGTGTGTATGCTGTATATGTCTCCACATATGGGCATTTGCTCACATGTGTGTACCAAGCAAGATTTCCTCAGGGGTGCTTCTCCACACAAAGTCACACAGACACACACTATCTCACTCAATCACATCTTCCCACATGTGATCACGCAGACAGGACACACAACACACGGACGCAGACACACACACAGATACACAGACACACAATACACAGTCAGAAAGAGAAAACATCCAATATAGCATTGTTCATTTCAGTTTTTCCATTTACAAAATCCAATGGTGAATCCAGGCAGTTAGAAAAAAGAAATGGAGGAAAACCCTCCCGAGTGTACCCTATCTACCCCCCACCCCCTTGGTCTTCCCACCCCACCCCCTTGGAAAGGCACCCCCATCACTATCACTGAGAGAACAGGTACCCCCACTCCTGGCCTCCCAGCCACTCTGGCCTGCCTTTCCAGGGCCACTCCACAGACAGGCTCATTAATGTCTCTCCTGCCTAGAGGGCCCTCCTCATTCCTTTTAGGTCAAGGCTTCCCCACTTCTGGGGGCTGTCTTGGGGTAGGGAGGGAGCTCAGAACAGGGACTTCAATAGGAAGGAAAAAGAGAGGGGTGGATAAATACACATCCTCACCCATCTCCCTCAGGAAATGAGAGGGGGCACAGAGTCTGGGCAAGCCCAGGCAAAAGAGTGGCGGCTTGGCCCACCAGTCCACAGAACTGGCCTTGCAGTAAGCCCAAAGTCAACCTTGCCCCTGGGAGGGAGTCTTGTGCCTCCCCCCTCCGGGGAATCTGGCTGCAGTCTACTCCATTTGGGGTGTAGGCAAGAGCAAAGGGAGCAAGGGAGAAAGGACTGTTAGGAGGAAGGATGTGTGGGGCTGAGGGCCCAGAAGGCCAGGGACTACCAAGGAGGAGGAAGGGGCTTGAGGCCCCTGAGGCTAGAGGGGAACAAAAAGAAGTCAAACAGGAATGGATTCAAGTCTCAAACACCTTGGAGTCTGTACCACTATCGGTTTCCAAGGACACCCCCCCCCCCGATTTCCATCTTCCGAAGAGTAGTATGAACCCGGGAAGCAATCTGGGGTTGCATTCAACTCTGACTCCAGGCACTAGGGTCTAGCTCCTCTGGGGAGTTCAGCTCCCATTCCTACACTTCTCTGGAGAGCTGCTCCTGCCTGCATGGCCCCCACATCAGCCCCTGTGGGGCTGTCGTGGATTTTTCAACCTTAGGAAGAAGAGTTGGAGGGTCAGGGATCCAGTGCTAGAGAATGCAGACAAACTTGGGTCTCTTCAGCTTGAGGAGTTCAGCTCACAGCCTGCTCTTCACCTAGCCTGGGCCCATGCTGGGGCCCTTCTCCCTGCCCTCTTGGCTTCTTAAGTAGATGTCGAAGAAACACTTTGGAGGTCTGGACACGGGATGTGGGAGGGAGAGGAGACGGGGCTTGGTACCAGGGTTAGCCAAAAACAACATTGCACACAACATAGCAATTAAACATCCCTGCTCCCTGGGGACCCAGCACCCCCTTAGGTCCCTCTTATCAGCAGCCTTGGATCAGTTTCTCCCTCAACATCCAGGCCTTGCTAAAGGACTTGGGAGGGAAGGGTGCATGGGAGCAGGGGGCGGGGGGAGGCAATAGAGCTCTGGAAATCTATTTTACAGGACAAATTTGCCCCTTCTGGACAACGTCAGAAGGAGAGACACTTAAAGCAAGAAAGCCTGTCTCCTCTGCTGTTAGTATAAAAACCTGCATTTTCAGTTTTGTTTTCTTTTTCTGAATTGTCACTTGAGAGAGAGAGAGAGATAGAGAGAGAGATAGAATGAGATTGTAGAAGTGGAGAAGGAGGTGGTGGAGACAGGCCCCACAAAACTAGGAATGTCTCTTTCCCAGTCCCCCACCCTGGGGAGGTGTTGGCAAAGGTGCCTGGATTCCGGGTGGTTCGAGGGACTGGGGCTGGAGCTCAGAAAGGAAGGCTCCCATAAGGGGCCCCATCTGTCCCTTTCATTTGGCCCCATCATGGTGACCATGACCTTTTCCCTGCCTGTCTGCCTACCAGCCTGCTTCACATGACACAGTAGGGTTCTCTGGGAGCCGGGGCACCTCCTGTGCCCCAGCAGGGGGCGTGAGTCCTCAGGCACTTCTTGAGGTCCTTGTTGAGCAGGAAGCAGACGATCGGGTTGACGGCAGCCTGGGCGAAGCTCATCCAAACAGCGGTGGCCAGGTAGCGATGGGGCACGGCGCAGGCTTTCACAAACACTCGCCAGTAGCAGGCCACAATGTAGGGTGACCAGAGGAGCAAGAAGAGCAGTGTGATCGCGTAGAACATGCGGCCCAGCTGCTTTTCACCCTTGACCTCGTCCATGCCCAGCAGCCGCCGGCTGGCTGCGTGCCCATTCTGCCGGATACCCAGCAGGGTTGGTGGCATAGGCCCACGGCCAAAGCCGGCGATCCAGTTGGCAGCAGCCTGGCCGGTGGCCCCAGGGCCATGGAAAGTCCAGTTCTGGCTGATGGCTGGCACCATCTGCACTGGCTTCATCTTGCGGTGACGATACTCGAAGAGGAGAAGCTTGCCATAGACAGCATGTGTGGCTGCCATGAGCACAGCCAACATAAGCATGAAGCCGAGTGTGTCATTGGCCTTGAAGTAGCGATGCTCAAAGATGCACTGGTCCTCCTCCCGGATAAACTTGTAGGTGCCCACGTCGAAGACGGGTGGGAAGGCCATGGCCACAGACAGGGTCCAGGCCATGCAGATGACAGCTGCACATGTCCAGAGTGTCATGCGCTTGGCGTAGAAGCGGTGGTGGGCAATGGCCATGTAGCGGGTGACACTGATGCAGAACAGCATGAAGGCCGCATGGAAGCAAAAGAGCACGGCCATGAAGGCCACAATCTTGCAGCTGAGTGCACTGAAGGTCCATGAGGAGCCGTGGCGCACAGAAGCCAGCACAAAGGGGAAGCAGACGGCAGAGCGTATGCCATCGGCCAGGCACAGGTCCAGCAGAAAGTAGTAAGGAGCCTTGTGCAGGGCACGCTCCTTGAGCACCAGCAGGGACAAGATGGCATTGCCCGCCAGGCTCACGCACATGATCAGTCCCAATAGCACCAGCTTCACATAAGCCGACGCTGACGGCGGGGACAGGGCGCCGCTCACCTCCTCCGGCTCTCCGGTGGTGTTGGCCATACTGAGGGGGCAAGGGCCGCTCTCAACCCTATGGGTTCAGCCGGGCTGGTACCCGATGGGCCCTGTGGGACTCCATCAGTTGTCCTGTGGGCTGTACCTGTGAATGGAGCAATGGTGGAGACACAAAGAGAGAAAAATATATACAGATACCCAGAGATGGAGTGGGAGAGAATGGGAGATGGAACAAAGAGGAAAATGGCAGGGAGATATAAATGGAGAGGAATGTATATAGAAACGGGGGGAATGAGAAAGTTGAGAGAGAGAGAGAGAGATTTGGTTAGTATGTGTCTGAGAGGAGGACTAGTGCACAGAAGGTTGGGGTGAGGTGGGGCAAGAGGACAAGACAGGAGAGAGACAGTGAGAACCTGATGGAAAGGGAAGCTGAGGAAGAAACAGAAAAGTCAGGCTTAGCGGGTCTTACAAGTCCTCCCTGCCTCGGGCTCACTCCTGCGGCTCCCCCCGCTTTGCTGAGTGAGGCTGCCCAATCTTTCTGGGTGTCATTGGTTACCTCCATCCCCCGTGACTGTGTCTGTGATATGGGGATGTTGCTGTGTGGCTCTTATCCCACTTCACAAAGCCCTAAGGCTGTGCTGAAACATTTTTGACCGCTGCCCTCAATCAAACATGCGTTTTACAGCACAACCCAGTACACACACAGGCCTGGCTCAACCAAAGGCTTCACCACACAGTACTGATCCAGTATATAATGCATTAAATGTGTTCTTACTACTAGTTTATAATGGTTAATACTATTCTAGTTCATGGTCTTTTTTTGTCCTTTGAAAGAAATGGCCGGTAGCCACTCATTAAACAGATTTATTTACTGCTTACCAGGAATGTGCTCAAGAAACAGCAAAAAGACTAGTGTGGCTGGGATGGAGTGAGGGAGGCAGGTCACAGAGGGGTCTGGGGCCAGATCATGTAGGGCTGAGGCATTCATTTTAGGTGGGGGCTTGGGTCTGCATTTATTTTTTTAAAGATTTTATTTATTTGTTTGAGAGGTAGAGTTACAGACGGTGAGAGGGAGAGAGAAAGGTCTTCCATTTGCTGGTCACTCCCCAATTGGCAGCAACAGCTGGACCTGAGTCGATCTGAAGCCAGGAATCTGGAGCTTCCTCCGGGTTTCCCATGCAAGTGCTTGGGCCATCCTCTACTTCTTTCCCAGGCCACACCCGACAGCTGGATCAGAAGAGGAGCAGCCGGGACTAGAACCGCTGCCCACAGGGGTTACTGGTGCTGCAGGCGGAGGATTAACCTACTTTGCCACAGCGCTGGCCTTGGGTCTTTATTTTAAGTGAAATGGGATGTGTGTGTGATTGTAGAGCTGGAGGCAGGCTTGAGTCTATTCCACACTCACTGAAGAAAGCATTTACTGGCCGGCGCCGCGGCTCAATAGGTTAATCCTCCACCTAGCGGCGCCGGCACACGGGGTTCTAGTCCCGTTCGGAGTGCCGGATTCTTTCCCTCTTCCAGGCCAGCTCTCTGCTGTGGCCAGGGAGTGCAGTGGAGGATGGCCCAAGTGCTTGGGCCCTGCACCCCATGGGAGACCAGGAGAAGCACCTGGCTCCTGGCTCCTGCCTTTGGATCAGCGCGGTGTGCCAGCCGTGGCGGCCAATGGAGGGTGAACCAACAGCAAAAGGAAGACCTTTCTCTCTGTCTCTCTCTCTCACTATCCACTCTGCCTGTAAAAAAATAAACAAATAAATAAAAAGAAAGCATTTACTAAGCATCTAGTGGGTGTTAGGCACTGAGGGTACAGCTGTGAGCCAGCCGGACAAGGACCTCTGTCCCCATGGGGCTGACAGTCTAGATAACCCAGGACCATCAGAGGAGTATATAACTTGTCTGAAGACAAGTTCCTGGGAAGAAACATAACGAAGGGAAGGGAGCAGGAAGTGCTAGAGATGAGGGGAGGCATTGCGGTGGTCGATGAGGTAGACCAGGAAGGCTTCCCGGAAGAATCGTGTAAGTACACAGCTGAAGGAGGTGAAAGAGTGAGCCACAAGGGTGACTGTGGGAAGATCAGTCCAGGCAGGGGAGCCATATGGCATGCGTAAGGAAGAACAAGATGCTCCTTGAGTACTGGCAGGGACCAGATGGCGGGTAGAATAGAGCAAGCAAAGGGAAAGTGGTGGGAGGAGAGGTCAGATCATGGGCCTGTGAGGACTTGGACTTGGACTCCGAATGAGATGGGAGTCTTGGGAGGGTTTTGCACAGAGGCAAGATGTGACACAACGTGGGGCTGTGAAAGCAGGTAGGTGGGGCAAAGGAGACCTCTCAGGAGGCTCCTGCATAATCCAGGTGAGGTGTGATAGCACCCCCACATCCATTTTCCTCTTGTAGTTTTCTTCCTAGAATTTCTCTTTTCTAGCACACTATATGATTTTCTTTTAAATTTCCTTTGTTGCCTGTTTCATCCTCATAGAATGAAAGCTCCTTGAGGGCAGGGATTATAGACTCAGTCTCCTCGAGAGGGACTCTGCATGGCCACGGCAGGCACGCAGTGAAAATATGGCCCATCAGTTGATGGTGAAGGGACGAAATAGGCTGGCAGGTTGAGAGGGCCCCCTGGAGGCCTCCGGGTAGGACTGCTGAAGGAGGGGCCCGGGGAGTGCATCTGGCAGTAGGGGCCACATAGCAAAGCTCCCACCCAGTGTGTACAGGAAGGAAGTGGAGGGATGTGATTATAACACGGACGATCCCAGAATGAAGTCAGCCAGGCAACGCAGGTAACGCTGGAGGAACTCGGGATTACTGTTGGGGCTAAGGAGAGGCTGGGACCCGGGGAGGTGGAGCTTGAGCAGGTATCCTCCCATCTCCGTCCTCCCAGGGAAAGTCTCCCCTCCATGCTGTTCCCCAGCCAGGCTTTTTTTGGTGGTGAAGTCTTGGTGCCAGCAGGGCACGAGAGGGGGCCAGGGAGGGGCTGGTTGGAATAAGTGGGGTTGGTGGGCCCCCTTTCAGCCCTTCTAGGCCCAACAGCCCCTTCAGAATTGTGGAGCAGTCCTTGGCTGGGTGTATGGAAATGTCTGACTGTGTGCACACCCGTGCATTCACACACACACACACACACACACACACTCACTCGCTCACTCTTTAGCCCTGAGAAGAGGCAGGGAGAAAGGAGTAGAGATAGATGAGAAACTGAATGTAACAGAGTCAGACAGAGTGATGGAAAAGGAGAGAGGGGTGTTGTAACAGACAGATGGAGGGGCCAGCATGGTGACATAGCGGTAAAGCCGCTGCCTGCAGTGCCGGTATCCCATATGGGCGCCGGTTCCAGTCCTGGCTGCTCCACTTCTGATCCAGCTCTCTACTGTGGCCTGGGAAAGCAGTAGAAGATGGCCCAAGTCCTTGGGCCCCTGAACCTGCATGGGAGACCCAGAGGAGGCTCCTGGCTCCTGGCTTCGGATTGGCACAGCTCCAGATGTTGCGGCCAACTGGGGAATGAACCAGCAGATGGAAGACCTCTCTCTCTCTGTCTCTCCTCTCTCTGTGTAACTCTGATTTAAGCAAATAAATAAATCTTTTTTAAAAAGAGAAAGACAGATGGAGACATAGGAGGGAGAGGGAGGGAGGGAGGCCTCACACACAGAGGAATAAATAGAAATAAAGACAGGGGGCTGGTGCTGTGGCGCAGCGGGTTAGGGCCCTGGCCTGAAGCGCTGGCATATCAT